AAGCTATCAATTTTTTTTGATAAAACTTCAAACCAGTTTGTGCGTTTATTCAAATTTCCCTTGACAAAAAGAGGTGTCTTGTTACTAGAATTTATGCCAAATTGTAAGTTAAGTATAATGTGGTTCAGTGTAGCTTCTTCACGTAAAGCAAAGTAACAACAGGTAGAAAACATGACGTTATAAATAAACCAATGAAAATTATCAATTTTCAAACAAAACAATAATGTAGATAATCTGCATTTGCCAATTTAAACTAGCCAAAAATGTTTACTATTTTGCAAGTTTTAAAAGTCAATTTTTAAAGGTGTAAACTATCCTAATAAGTTGTAAAGTGTACAAATATTTAAACTTTTCATTAAAATCACTGTATCGTCCTATTTCTATAATGGCGATAGTGCAAACTGCTAGAAATACTAGGGCACTTCCATGAACTAGGTTTGTGTGTCAATTTAACGATATCATTTTTACTGGTGAAAATGGATGAAAAGCACTAATGATTTCCACATTCATGAGTAAGTGCGAAGAAGAGTTTATTGCATGTCGAATTTGATCGCTAAGATACAAGTACATAAATGTCACGAATATTACATAAAACGATATAATGTCCCTTTAATGGGATGACGTTAACAAAAAGTGACATAAATTCCAGATGGTGTCTTCCATGCAACGTAATTCAACCTTTAAAATATTTAAATATCATTCCACGATTGTAGGAAGTTTAAGAATGAACTCGTACTTGAATATGAATACACCGCATTTTAGTTTAAAATATTCAGGAAATATTGTGTCAATAATAAAATTTGTTTCTAAGTTTACTAAAAATATCAGAGTGTTATAATTAGCATATAAAAACAGTCCGCTCGAATAAATGTAAAAAGTAAATAAATGTTAAACATAAAATTATTTGAAAATTATTTCATGTTTAAAAATTACGTACGCAAAACGGAAACAACCAAAGAGATTTCCTCAAGTGACACGAGCTCTTGAATAGTTGTTGGCAGGATATGGCCCTGACGTTTATCTGTCACTTCCGCAGCATGCGGACCTGTTGAAAGTTGGCTCGCAACGAATTATCAAACTACATTGGAATTTAAACGAAGAACAAAATTTACTACTTTTTTAGTACTTTTGAATTTGTCACATGTGTGGTTATCAGTATCCTACTACGAATTAAAGACAAAATTACAGCGAAAATTAATTTAAACAACGTCATTGATTACAATATTCAAAAATAAATATATATCAAAAAATGAAGACAATAAACCCATTATTTCATACACATGCTCGAATGAAGTATCTAAAATTAGAAAAATGTTTTCAAGAGAAGTATGTAACTAAATGTAAATAACGTATTCGTAATCCCGTGTTTGGTAAACAAATTTGTTTGATCGTCCCCCTTCCTATCAGTTCCAAAAAGATGCGAGTGTTCACTTATATGAAAGCTGATTATCAGTCCTGGAAAAAATTGAAACTGATAAAACTATTCCTCTCTTACTATCAAGGTGGAGTTCAGGGCTCATTGAAATTACACAAGGCTAATGCGAACCGATGTGAATAATAAGAATTGTTACTCAGTAAATGAACTAAAACAACGTTACATGACTGTCGATAAATGTTAATCAAACTTTCATTGACCTTCATTATTTGTGATAAGACGGTCGGAACAGCATTTAATGTTAATTCTTCAAGACGCTTCTTTGTAAGTCCGATTTGATGAAAACAAACAAATTGACGCAAATATTTTGCAAAGCAAATAGTCCATTGCATATACATTGCACTATAATAGATTGATGAAACGCATTTATGTTTACAACTATAATAAAAAATTAGTCTGTTGCGGAATATAACTTCTCAGAAAATTAATGACAATGAGGCAGTTGTGTCTATTGACCTTCTTGTTGAATCAAAGTGCTATTTTCTGTCAAATTTTGACAAGTAGTGACACAAAATTTTTGACAACCTCATATACAGAAAAAAAAATCTGAAACAACTAAAACTGGGCATAATTTATAAACCCCGTTTTAAAATAAGGCAGAGTCGACGAATTTTTTCCTCGAAAGCGACAAATGTGTGTTTGCCTGGAATACATTCACAACTGGTAAGGGGACAGGGTAATTATTAAAAAAAGTTAAGGTTAACGGTCTGAGAAAATAAGACTGGTTTAATTTCAGAATGTGTCTGGTTTTCTTATGCACGTGATATTTTTAATTTTTTTTTCTGATTTAAGTATTTTCTGAAGATGAATTTGCAACATATTTCAGACTTTAATAACTCGTGTGGCGACCTAATCGGACCCTGGAAATGAAGCAAACATACTTGTTTTGACAGACATTTTTACGACAAATATGACAAAAAACACGTTTAAACATCAGCTACTAAATATTGCAGTTATTTTTTACTCCTTATAAAATTCAATTATACGAATTTTATTTTTATTTTTTGATAACCTTTATAAGTTAAAATAAATATATGTGTGAACGGTTAAAACACAAACAAAGAAGCACGTTATATATTTCAAGCAAATTTTTTCTTAACAAAATTTTGTGGTGATGTCAATATTTTAACAGGTATTTTCAAATTTTCGGAAACACGTATTACGTATGTATCTAAAGAACATCTGTACTGTAAGATCACTGTAAATGTATACTAATAAACTTTAGTAGGGTCCCTGTAAACTTGTAAGTCCTATCGCGTGCCTACAGAATTTCCGTTCGTTACAAATACGGTCCTGTGTTGCCCCAAGCAGACGATCTCTGGCAGTCGTATCGGTATAATTTATGATTTTTGAGTTTTACCGATTGGGTTCTTTGACTAAAGTTGTAAAATGTTATTAGTATGTATTTAAAGTGATCCTAGTATACTATTAGAAGGATTAAATAATAAACATTATAATAATAAAAACAAAATTAAGGTGGACTGAAATGCAGAAGCATTGTCCATTCTTTAAACATAAATGACAGAAGAATAAAAGTTGGTTGGTATAATGAAAAAATTCCCTGATATTCTTTTCTGCAGTGACAATTTTTTTTTTAATTGTGAATTCACCACGATCCAAACGATTTTTTTTTTGTCTAAGCCAACTGTCAATTATTATTGTCCAGCAAGACAAGAACTCTGTTCCGATTGTCCCAAATATGCAATATGCCGACTAACAGCTAGAATATTTATGGTACTTAAGATCCCAAATTTTATTCCGACTTCACGTAACCTATCCCTCATATCCTTTATGTAGGTGCAAAATATTTGTCAGGCACACGAGCGTAGACCACCACTTTTGTACTAGTTATAGAATAAATGTTTGCTCATTTTTATCTTAATCATGTAAAAATACTCATTAAACAAAAACTAAGAAGATCAGTTGACATAACCTATAATTTTATAATTACAGGCTGTGCTCTGGCCAATTTACTGATACAAAAAAACATATTTCTCTAACCCTAAACAACTCCCTAGATATACTCTGATTTTTGAAAATTTGACATCGGTTGTCATTTATATTTTGTAAACAGATAATAAATGTTATTTTATAAAATTTAAATAGCATTTACTATGCAAAATTTTGAGGTGACGTGATCAAATTGTTGATGGTGGTGGTGAAACAAATTGTTTATTAGTGTTTTACCATTCACACGAGATTATTGACCTACATTAAAATTTCTCAGAAATAAGTCCATTAGTTTTGGAAATTACCTGTCTCATAAAACATCGACACAGAGGATAGATAGACCGAAACGGGACACTTATTTTTTCATATATGGAAACATGAAAGTAGTCATTCGCTGGTTGGACCTTGTTACAATATTTTCTTAGCTCACACTCGAGACGTAAAACTAATCAATTAAAAATAAGGGAAAATAGGTGGCCAAGAATTAAATTTAATGTATACCTTAGAACGCGAATATCAAGAAAAAGTACATTAATGGAAAAAGTAATACGGCTTAATTTATTTTATTAACACTTCTAACTGTGGTGATTATGCTGATGAAGGAATCATCACAATGGAAAGTACAGAATATATTTACAATTCATTTTCGATTTAAATGGCTTATCGTTGGATAATGAGTTTCTTTTGGTCGTTTTCTTCAAAGATGCTAGATATGATTACCAGTTTCTGAGAATGATTACACAATAACTGCTAATTTTATATTGGGAAATTACTGCCTAAATGAAAATTTCGGCGAACTTCGACTCCGGTCCAAGTTGGGTGTTTACTAATCCGGCACCTTGACTCTGGTCCGCGGTCATCTTGGGCTATTTAGCTATAGCATTACTCCCGTCTGGCAAATCTACCTGATTCTAACTACTTATTTACTATGGGAACACATTCAACACCTTTTGAATTATAAAGTGAAGTAAAAATTCTTTTAATAATTAAAACAATATTAATTAACTTTGTACTTACAACATTTTACAGATTTTGCAATACTAAAATCAGCAACTCTTATCTAGAAATGCCGTTATCTAACCTTCTTACTTAGTACACGGATTTTAAACTTATTGTAACTTGCTAAAATTTATGCCAATTTTACAATCGTTGGTATTATGAGTTTAGATCGGCCAGGGATTAAGGTACTCCAGGTATTGGTTTAAAAAGATATGTTTTATGTAGAAAGTTCAATCTTAAAAATATAACAATACGTAAGGTATTCTGTTTGAAAAAATTGTAATTTTGTGTGTAATGTTGAAGCGGAACGTTTGCATCACTAACATTAATTAAATTTGAATGGGTGTAATCGGACCGTGTCAAAATATTGTTTCAGTAGTCTACAGGAACACTCTAGTAGTATAGTGTCGGGTCGACAACATAAACTAATAATACGTAATATCAAACATCTGATAAAACCCCAAGCCCTGAACACTGAGTTTCGGCTCTGAATAGGCAGGGAGAGTATAAAGCGTTTTCATGATAGTGGAGCGTCAGTTTAAGTAAATCGCTCCGCTGTGCGGTGTCTACAAATAATCATTCGCTGCATCACCACAGTGCATTGTTTTTTGTTTAGACGGAATGACTCAACAGTGAATGAAGATGACCACAAAAGAAGAAACAATTTTAAGTACGAGCCCCGCGAAGTGTTGTCAAAGTGCATCCTCGCTGAAATTCGCATCTGCTAATAATAACGACGCCGCGACTCGCGACGCCGACACCAAATTCCTCTGGGACAACAAGGACTGCGTCAAAAGACACCGGTTTCCGAAAAAACAAGCCGTACATGTGGAATTTGAAAACATCACATATACCACATGGAGTTGGTCCATGACCCGCTTTCAAAAAGGTAAATGCAACAACTTTCTTCCTCCCGTCCAAACACTCACGTGTATGTGCAATCAATGCCCCTAAACCATGTCACAGCCAAAGCTGCACAGTATTGGTTTTGCTAATTTCGTAAGAGACCCCGTTAGGAGGTTCAATGACAACGTTTTACGCGAAAATTTACAAGCGGAGAAAGTAGATAAAAAATGCGTTAACCTGTGTTTGTGTTTACGTAAAATTAATCTTTTTTTACAGTCTATTCGCACGCACTTGGTGTGTGAATAAAAATAAACCTTGTCTGCTATGTGTATTAGTTTCACGCGCCAGATTAGAAGTATCATCTGTTCACGGACAAGGGGCGGGTTGTGAAGCTGCAGAATGCAAGAACAGGTTATTGCATTCTACTTTCTCCTCGGAAAACCCGTGTGGCTTATTCTATCTTCTCTATTGTATTATTTAAAGAACTCGTTTTTCATGGTTTAAAAAACTCGCCAACCGTTCGCACCATTAATATTAATATTTTGTACCGATGTTTTAATAAACATCTAGGTTTTTACACAGTAAATTAATACAAGTTTTTGCGAAAATTAATTGGTTGGTTGCCCAAACAACAGGTACTTTTTGTAAGTAAATGTACACGTGCAGACTTGTGTAATCATTTAGGCTTCAGTTTAAAATTTTTGTGTAATTAAGCAACTAGTTATGCTTGACTAAGTTTCTGTTAAGACGAGAAATGCTTGTGTTTGATTAACTGATATTGCAGCGATAAATTCCACACTGCGATAATTGAAAATTAAGATCGAGTATGATAGATTTGTCAGAGAAATCACATACCATGACCATCACAAAAAAAGATAGATAAGTGAGAATACTTATCTTGATAAACAATTTCTTATCATAAAAAAGTCCTTAAAAAAGGCATTCCAAAAACTAAAAAAGGGGAAGGTTTATCAATGACTTGTTTAATAAAAAAATTCAGCATAATAACAATACATGTTTTAATACTATCAGGAAAGTTTGTCTTCTGTTAAATAACAAATTTTTATCGTTTGAAAAATGTACTCAGAAATACTTTTTTAGCAATACGAGTATAAGTTTCAGGAATTTATCCCATGGAGTTGAATTGACTAATATTTTTACCTAATAGAACTAGAAAGTTTTAAATATTTATAATTAGGAATTGGAGTTGAAACTTCGCCTAAATAAAGTATATTACATAAAAAAGCGAATGAAAGCGTAAATAAATAATACAGATAATAAATAAAATAAAGATAACGGATAAAATCAAGTTTTATTTCTAATTTAAGTATAAAGCTTTCTTAAAACTTCAGAACTAATTAACTCAATAAATGGTATATTTATATGTCATTTTTACGACTCTGACGTACACTACTAACGGATATCTGATTTCCAGATTTAAAACATTTTATTCAGTAATTAATGTAAAAAATAAATATAGGGGTCGTAAAGGTATTTGAAGAAAGCAAAAGTATTTTGCAATGATTCGTAATACAATTACTTAATATTTTAGTTTTAATAATAGTTGATTTTATTTTCTTCTCATTTGAACTAACTGACATTCTGTTCGTGTTAACTATGCAAAATCTCAGTAACTTTTTTTGCTTTGGTTTGGTTTGTTTCTTCTAAAGGTTAGTTCGTATTCGTTTTTATTCTTTCATAACTAAGTCATACAGTAGTTTTCATTCTGTGTGCTACTTTGATTAAAAAGTCTCTTTGCTTTTTCTTTTCTTTACACTTTCCTGCTCGTTTTCCATTTATTAACACCAAAACTGTGGTCAGTATTTCATTAATTCACAGTTACTTACTAATTATTATTTGTAATTATATGGCAAGAACTATTTTTGAATTCTTGATTGAAAATATTCACGCATAAAGCACACAATACACGATATGATGAATTTATTTATTTATGCGTTTTATGGCTCAATAGTGTGATTTTCATCACTAAAGTTAATGGTCAGTAAATACATTATTTAGATTAGGTATTGTGTGAAAACCATGTCAGTGACGACTTGAAAATTAAATCAACAAGATAACTTCAGTTTACCCACTGCATTTTTAAAATTAATTTGCTAAACTGTTAAGACTCGCTATTTTATTTATTTAAAACTAAATTTTAATCAGGAAAAGAAGTGACACTATTACATTTAAAAACGTCAAAAGACTTGTATCTCTACGCTCTAATGATTTATGGATTTTGTTTCTTTTTTTTTAAGTAAACAGTAACTAGTGCACGAAGTGAGTATTTTAAATGTAGAAAAATTATTTGAAAACAATAAAACTGCTTTGTACTGATTTATTATTGTCAATTCTGTTTCTTCACTTTGACAAATCAACGCTTCAGTTATTTTTTTTGTCTGCGAAATTTAAGAAATAAGTTTGTAGTATGAATAATACTGAAACATAATCTTGTTTTTGCGAAAATATGTATCTTGTTTTTAATATTGCTGTAGACAGAAAAAAGTTGCTTGTTGGTCAATTTTACAAAAACACACATTTATACTTTCATAAAATGCCACAAACCTGCTTCAGTTATTTTAAATTGGATTCAATCTTGCTTCATTTGCTTGGTGAACCAAAAATCAGCATAATTCATACAAATGTACTTAGTAATAACTTAATAAGTTATTAAATAATTTCGGGAATCAACACTTCGAGCTCTTCTACCAAAATTGTAAAAAAAACACGAAAACTTGTTTGCAAAATTATGTAAACCTATCCAAAAATTCAAGTTTATTTTTATTTAGCGATTTGATGAGATAAGTGTGTGCTATAAATTGCAACTACGCAGATAACAGGTGGGATTCTTAAATCCTTGATTTAATTTGCAAGAAAAGCATAGAATATAACTGAACGTGGCAAGCTTTGCTTCATATTCCAAAAATCTGAAGAAGTGGCTAATTAAGAAATATGATACAAATGCGAATTTTCGATCAGAGAACAAACTTACGCTTTTTAATTGCATTTTTTTTATAACCTTGCACGTATTTTAAGAACTAATAGTAGCTAACTAAAAATCTTTTTTTTGTTTTTAAACAAGTTTTGGACGAAATTAAAGTTTTACGACCACATCCGTTAATTAAATTTCTAACTATTAATAAAATATCAAGTGATTTGTATTTTGGGTTTGCTTACTCATGTGCGTCATTAAAAAACTGGTTGTTACATTCGCTTAGATTTAATGTAAAATAATATGTTTTGCAAATATGTGATATTTAGGTAAAAACAAAAACAAAAAAAACAAACACGTGAGGCTGCGCTTTTTATGAACCGGAATTACCTATACCCAATATCGAATATAAATATTTTTTGAAATAGTCACATTTCAAAAGATGCTGAACCAAACTAATTAATAAATAGTGTAAAAATGTCTCATGTGCTCACGACTGTCGTCCTTGCAATGCAAGAAAAAACAATAATAAAAATATCTGAAAAAATTTTGAAAATCACAGGCTTTCTTCTGAAACACACCGAATCGGACAGGCTTTCTTTTTATTAAGATGTTGAAAAGCTTTACGTCATCTCGCATCTTTTGTATCATCAAAAAGAAACACGACACACTGGTTATTACAATTTAAATCAAAATTTTTGAAAACTATAATTTTTTTATTACTTATAATTATATTGCTTCGCAAAACAAAAAACTCTTACTAGATATGTTTTTTATTTATCATCATGTTTTGTACAAAACTTAATATGTCTGCTACACATTTACTGCCTTCATGTTCTCTTGAATTTATTGCTTATAACAAGAACTGCATGGACGTCACAGTGTAGTTATTTTTAATTTTAATAAAATAAAAAAAAAATTGGTTTCATAATAACGAAAAACCAGTATTCTGGAATGATGAATGTTTTGCGTTGTATGTCACCTGTGGCGTTTTTAAACTGATTTCTTTGACGTCAATGGTATATCGCTTGATCATAATGTTCAGGTCGCACGAAGCTTTATATGTAAATTTAAAATTTTTGCTATGTTAATAAACCACAAAATTATATTCTGGGGAAATATAATTTTTTGAAAATGGTAAACATCAGCGTCAGTTTGTTAATTTATTGCAACAATAATCCATCATTTCCAACGAACTAATGAATAAAAACAAATTTTTGCACGTAACCAATTTTGTTTTGCGTTATAAATTTAAATAATATAAAATTCATCAGTAATAAGTCAAAAATGTCTCAAATAAGTTTTTTTTTGACTGCTTAAACGGTATTTTTAATTTGTAATATAACTAATTGTAATGAATGCTTTGTGTAATAAGAAATATATTCCGACCAAATTTTTACTGATTTTGACTCAATGAATATAAGTATATACTAAAAAGTGCAAAATTACCTTTAATTTTGCACTTTTTGGTATATACTTGGACCCTTGCCCTGATTCTTACATAATAATTGTCTAAAAATGGTACGCCACACGTTAGACATCCAACTTTTTCTTATAATTTCAACATTATAGAACAATCACTACTAATAGAAAAAATTTTGCTCAAAAAGGACAAACATATTGAAGTTAAAGCAGAGTCACAAACTTTGCGAAAAAGCTTATTTCCAGTGATGTAGCCTAGTTGAAAAGAAAGTTTTCTTAGAAACTATGCATAAGATGCTCTTGCTGTCTTTTTTTTCTGTTTCAAGTTGTTATGGTCGAAGGTTTTTAATAATGATAACAATAACAGCAAGAAACTACAAGTTAGAGCTCAATGGAACATTGAACTCTGATGTTTAAACTCGTTGTTACCTAAGCAGCGAAATTCATAAAACTAAGATAGATCACGAAAGTGGTGAATAATTTCATTTCTCCACGTCATGTTTGATGACCGATGATTCACTAACGTCCTGTGACGATGAATCAACGAAAAGAGTAACAATTATCATAACACGCCTACAAACTGATAGTATCAAAGTACCCATTTGATGTTTATAAATAAACACGAATGCAAAATTTTTCGTTAAAAATAATGACAGAATACACGCGCCTGCATACTTACCCTTGAACGCTGAACGCATATTCATTAGAGCTTTGTTGTACTGTAAATAATAATTTTGCAATTATTTAACAGAAAACAAGCAAATTCTGCATGGAGTTTCTGGGCAGTTCAAAGCTGGAGAAATTTCGGTAATAATGGGACCATCCGGAGCTGGCAAGACAACCTTACTCAACATTTTAGCCGGCTTCACGTAAGTAAATTAATTGAACAGATCCAATAAATGGAGAAAGTTGTTGGGAAATTAATTAAACAAGTTCAACGTACTAGCATCACGTTTGACCTCCATGCATGTTGCAAAATTTAATAAAAAAAATTTGCAAGAGGAATTGAGAAATAAAATTGTGCGGAGACACGAAAGACGGTGAATGACAGTGGCCTAGCTAGATGCTAATACATCATAATTGCTTAGTACTGATTTACAGCGCTTTGTTCTTTAATTGTTGTTTATCTACCAGCCACAGCCAAAATCTTAGAGTGCTAATAAAAAATTGTGAAAACGTTAATAGTCCCTCAAGGACAACTTTACTGATGTTTACGAAATCACTACAAGACGACTAAGCCGAAATTATCCTTTTAGTAGTCTTGCTTAACGCAATGGAAAGAATTTTCGTAGACGAAATAAGCTTTCTATTATTTTGGACTTAAGATGAAAAATGACACACACACTTTCTCGTCATAGTTTAAACTCGATTTTTACTTGTTGACTTAACATAGATTCTTTAGTTTGCCATTGATTATTTATAATTATTTACTATGACATAACGTTGCAGTCCTGAGTACTTTGACCTTAGTAGTGTGAAGCACTCTCGTTTTTAATTTCATTTATACAAACTTGTTTATGACCGTTATTTCCCACAATACTTTCACTGCAACGACCTTAAACGTAAAGATGATTTAATTATATCTCATTTAGAACCCGCGGCAGCAGCGGTGCTGTCAAACTCAACGATGTCGTGCGAGATCAGAGTCCACGATTCCGGAAACTATCAGCTTACATACCTCAGGATGAAGAACTCCGGATGGGTTTGACCGTACAGGAAGCCATGACCTTCGCTGCCCATCTGAAACTAGGATATACAGTTTCCACAGAGTATAAAAAACAACAGGTAAAAATACGATCATCTCAGAGGTGGAAATATTTTCGAGCCTTTCAATGCCAGCCAGCTTCCGCGTGTGTAAAAAAATTTCCATCGATCAAGAAGCAATTTCCTGCTTCATTTCCTAATCTACAGTCGACGATTTTTGTGACCTTTGTATCAACATCAGTACAACACTAAATTTGCGTCTAGAATTATCTGAAAATAAGGAAGTAGTGTCTTACAAGGTTATTTCTCGAGATTTTGATATCAGTATTCTTTGTATTTTTTCACATGTAAGGTGTAAGGTCACGATCGCTAGATTTGGTACAGACTTTCTAGATTGCTTATCGTGGTTAATTTAACTGAATTTCAAAATACGCTATGTCTAAATTTGCCGGATTGCAACAGATTTGTAAGAAGCTGAGTTCACTCGCTTGTGACTACAGCAGAAATTTTTACAGGTAATAGAACTTTTGGAAATACTGGGTTTAGAAAGCAGCCAGCATACCTTAACGGCACGTCTGTCAGGAGGTCAAAGGAAACGGTTAGCGGTAGCTCTAGAATTACTCAGTAATCCTCCGATTTTATACTTGGATGAACCTACCACGTAAGTTGCAATTAGCCACATTCATGTGTTTTTAATAGCATAAACGGTGTCGTAAAGTTATCGAAGAATTGCATTGCAATAAATTAAATTAATAGCGACAATTACTAGCTTTTCAATGCTAGAAATTATGTTTCAGGGGATTGGATAGCTTGTCGTGTACTCAATGCATCTACTTGTTGAAACGTTTGGCCCAGGAAGGTAGAACCATTATTTGCACAATTCATCAACCTTCGGCTTTAATTTTTGAAATGTTCGACAAACTGTATGCTCTCTCTGATGGTCGATGTATTTACGACGGAACTATAAAGGACCTGGTACCACACCTTTCTAATATTGGTTTGACCTGCCCGCCTTATCACAATCCTGCCGATTTCCGTAAGTAAGTTTCCATAAGTGGCGTCAAAATCTAACTCTATGGTCACAGTGATGGAAGTAGCCATTGGTGAATATGGTACAGACATAAACATGCTTGCAGAAGCAGCGAAAGTTAAACGTTTGGACTCGATCGGCGAAAGTCCCAAAGGTTAGTACTGCAGTGAAAAGACTACAACTTTCCCAATCGTAACAGTCGACTTCCTTCAATAAATTATTACTTCCGACGAATTAATTATATATGGAAAATTTTGGTACAAAAAATGTACATAAAAATAATTTCGGAGATTATGACCATGACTGTCAATTCAATTTTATGATCAAGTTCAATGACTTTCTATCTGTGTTTATTCATTATTATTTCTTCGTAGAGAAAGAGTCAATGTCTCGTAGTGTAATTGAACAAGATGAGGCGGAAGAGAAACCTATTTATGAGAAGTCGCCGCTACCCGCAGCGGTCGTGATGCAGTTTTTATTATTATACAAACGAAATTTGTTGACGACAAAAAGGGGTTACGTAAGTTCACGAAGTTGTTGATAACAAATTATGACATTGATTTACACGTTTCAGTTATATTTTATCAATCGACTTTTGGCACACGTGGCTATAGGAATCATTTTTGGATATCTTTACAAGGGCGTTGGAATGGGAGCAAACACGATTTTGGCAAACTATGTTTACCTTTATGGTTCACTGCTACTAAATGTTTACACTGGAAAAATGTCTGTTACCATATCCTGTAAGTTATATACACAGTCGTCCGTGATTTAAGTTAAGAGCAAAAATTTAGTTCCCTTAGAAATGAAAATACTGACCAGAGAACACTTTAATAGATGGTATAAGTTAACTCCTTATTTACTCTCTGTGATATTAATTGAGATTCCATTTCAAGTAAGCTATTCAGTTTTTGTAACTACAAATGATTTATACAATTTTTTTAGGTAATTTGTACCTTAACATATATTGCGATTAGTTATTGGCTGACGGCTCAGCCAGTTAATTTTCGCCTGTACCTCTTCGTACTCTTCTGTATATTATCGACTTTATGTGCACAGTCGTGGGGTTACTTCATTGGAGCTACAACCCCAATCAAAGTATGACAAACAAAATAAAATCGCTTCAGTCGTTAATTTTTTTGTTTTACAGGTAGCAGTATTTTTGGGTCCCGTAATCGCTTGTTTGTTTTCCGTTTTTGGATTCTGTATACGATATTTCGATACTCCTATTTTCTTCCGGTGGATGTTTCATGTCAGTTATTACAGAGCAGGATTTCAGGGAATTGTTTATTCCATCTATGGTCTCAATCGACAGAAGCTCGACTGTCCTGAAGAGGCCCTTTATTGTCACTATTCCGACCCAACAAATTTCTTGAAAGAAATGGATATTATGGACGTAGATTTGGTCTCAAACATTTCTGTGATAGTGGTGATATGGTGCTTAATGCATGCCGCTACTTATCTAACTCTATGGATTAAATTAAACAAACGCTGAACATTAGTTAATTTTAATGAATTGTATCACGCATTCATTAATTTATTTTAGAACCAAAGACTACCTTCCTAATGAGGTTTTAATGTGTGTGCTTGTGAAGCTAGTTTATGATTTGGTATTAATGACTTTTTTATGTCGTATTATTTTAAAGTATGATAGAGATTTTTAATTTATGATCATTTGTACACAGTTCAGTTTCAGCTAGTCACTTTTAGATTGTAATTTGGCGGTGTAAGTAAGCCACAGTTGCCAATAAGATATTTTTGTATGTAAAAATAGACTTAATTGTGATAGAATTTTATATTTTAATTACTTAGCGGATCAAAAAATTTTAACGACTTTTCAGTTATTCAAAGAGTTACTTGTAATAAAAAATCTTTTCTGTTTTTTTGTTCGTTATTACCTCGTATCACGTTACGTTATGTAGTTATAAAAAATTATTTTAATTTGTGGCACTGACCAGAAGATTATCTACAGACAGGCATCATCGTTACGGGTAATGTACTCAACTAATGATGTTATAATTGGGATTAATTAAATTGAAACAATAAGCAATTTACTTATCATGTTACTAATTTTTTTTTTAAGTATATAGGTAACTATGTCGTTATCATTTCATTTACGATAATGACCTATCCGATGTAGTAAAATAGTAAATTGCGATGATGTGTGTATCTCCACAGGTCATAATTTTTTTCAACAGTGATTATTATCGGAGTTATATGCAAATATATCATCTTCAGAAGTTAATATTTTGAATAATTATTTGTTAAAACGTTTCTTTGACACATTTCCGTATTTACTTAATACTTTGTTAAAATTAATTTGTGTCGAATAAATACTGCTTCGTGTGAGTAAACTATTTTATCTTGTTTTTTGTCACTCTTAGATTAATCTTTTACAAACAGGTTAAAGACATTGTTTCGGAAGTCAGAAGTAACAAAGGGTTTTATCATGGTATTAATTAGTTTGAATTTGACAAATTTGAAGTCAATTTCCGAATAATTAACAATAGTGTTTGGAGAAACTTGAAATAATTTACGAGACATTTATTTTTAGTTTTCATTATTGCTTGTATAATTACCAGTCCCTAAATATAAAACACGAATTTTCGTAAATCACGTCGCCGTTTGTATGCGTTGGTGGTAGTTTGGTCCAACTTGATATTAAGTAAGCTACCTTCACAAATAGACCTGTAAGCTACATGGTCAATTATTTACTTGTAATGATTATATGAAAATCGCTTGTTAACTAATTCCGCTTCACGCCATACGCAAGGTTAATTACATAACTCCAAATTCGCTATAAGGTTAGACGTGTTTTTTAAAACTAATATCCGCAAAAAGTTACCCTTTAGGAAGTGCGGTTTACCTTCAGCACAATCACCCCGGAATTAGTCAAGGTTTTGTTCCGTCTTACCACATGGTTCAAGTTCAAGTTTTCTCACTTTTCTGTAACTATTTCCGATCTTCAGTTTATGATAAATTGATAAAACAACACTACAGAGTGTTAACGTTTGTGACACAGGTGATAAGCAAATTCGTGGGTAGGGGTCGACTTATTTACACTTCTTTTGCAGATATCACGTTAGAAAATTGACAGTTTGGTGAAACTTTTTTTTCACATAGAATGTAAACGGCATGTCCTTCATAGAAGCAGAATTATTATTACAAAAATAAAGAACATAGATACTGATCCAGTCTGGGTATAAAAATTGTAAGATCATAAAAATGTGGTATAAAAAAAATAGTCGTGCTGTTCTGTATGAACACGCCGACTGACTACATAAGAAGAGACATGACTTCGCCCAATAAATTAGGAGTTCAAAAAGTGGAACCGCCATCCCATTACAATTTATTTTGTATAAGAATCACGTTGGTACTTATTACACAAAAAGAAATGAAGAACAATGTATGGATTGAACGTTTAAGCATGAACCAGTTTTTTGCAAGATTTAAAATTGTTTGATATATGTAGATGAACAAATTTAACTCAACTTTTAATCAAATAGATTGTCGTCTAGTCAAGTGATAATAATTTATCAACGGAATGTTGGCTGCTTTCTACTCGGATTATCGTCAGCGCAGACATTCAAATTAATCAAAGTAAAACTTGAACTAGTGACATATAGAGATGTTTTTATTCATCGGAAAATCAATTGGGTGTACCTAATAACGCTAGCGATCGAAAGATATGCAACAAAGCGTCTATACTTAACTGAAATCCATGTAGTTGTGTATGTTAATAAAAAGAGATTCCAATTTTGTTTATTAAGATATCAATAATTTATGTAGTCGTTATCGAAAATTCTTCCTCTGTGTGGGTAAGTTTCCCTGAATAAATAAAAATAGGACTGAAAATATCAAACCCGACTTAAAATTTACATTCCATGACCTACAAAGATTATGTTTTTGACCCACACTATGCGCATAAGAAAATCAGAATTTTAAAATCTAAACAAAATTCATATCTAAATAGTATAGTGATGTATAAGTGGATGAAGACATGCTGAAGATGATTTTTAACTTTATGATTAATAGTAGTTTTGGTAAAAAAACTCTCTGAATAGTAAACGAAAATTTAAAACAACGCAATTAACAATTCTCATGGTGATAATGCTAATAGTATTTAACGTCTAAATTATTATTAATTACATCGTGTTAAATTAACATAATAAAAACTGTTTGAATGCTGATGATAAGTAAAATACATACTTACTTACTTACATTTTTCCTGGTAACAGTAGGTAATACATTCACTCGGTGGTGTCAATTAATTAATTACGGTAATTTCATAATGACATAATCACTGTTAGTTAAGATTTTGACACAGCAAAATACAGTGATTAATAAGAAATATTTAAAACTGCATTAACAATAATTTGTTTTCCATTTAAACTTGATTTAATCGGATAGACAACACATTATTCAGTGCGATAATATGCGCACACGTGGACGATGAATGCTGTGTCTCAGGGTAGACACATACACACTTAATCACTAAAAAAGCAACAAATGTTGAGATCTTCTTTGTACGTGTAAACATGTGTCAACATTTTATATGTAAAACTGAGTTTATAATTTCATCAACGAGCAAATGTTCAACAAAAAAAGAATCGCATTCGACGTCACAGTCTGCCTCGCCGAGTATAATTTAAAGTAATATATGTAGTTGATTAGCGATTTTCAAATCTGAATTGTTGCCGTAAACATGAATGTGTTAGTTCTTTGGTTTTTATTGTTTTCCACAGTTCAGATTTTTGACTGTTGAAAGTTGTAATAGAATTTTACAGGCACGTATATGCATAAATGTTCATAGAAACCACGCAGACTTTAGTCTTTGTTAATCACGTCTGTGTCATTTATTGATTGATCTAAAGAGTTGGTCCATATTGAGGGAAACTACCTTGAAAATTAATTATTATCCATTAAATTCATGTTCTTACAGGTTTAAGAATTTGTTGCGACTTGAATTCGAGCATTTATTGTCGAAGTATGCTGAGTGTTTCCCAAGCCACCTTATTTTGATTTTGATCGTGTTGAACATGTGTTTTGTTTGTATGTGATATGGTTTCAGTTTGATGCAAATTCTTTGTTGTTTAAAAATTTTACTACATTGTGACGTAATGGAGATTTGTTGGCTTTGCATTTGCAGTGATTCATTTAATCATCATCACGACTTCCCGCCTTAAATTGACACTTGAAAAATAAATTGAAAAATTGAAAAATTCAAAATTTGGCCTTGGCTGTGATCGTCTAACAAAATGAAACCTACGTTGTGTGTTGTTTGAAAAATGGCGGGAAGACGTTCTTTCATAATACAAGTGAGCATACACTGCGTGCGAGTAGAGAGCGCAAGAAATAAGAGACAGAATTTTTGGGAGGGAGCTAAAAATCGCAGCCCTCTCTAGGAGAAAAAGAAGCTGCCCAAGGGGGGGGGGGCGAATCGCATTCACTTCTCAGCTCCAAAACCCCCTATGATTTATTCACCTACATATATGTAACACATCGCAAATGAAACACATAAACATATGAAAGAAAGAGACAACCGCGAGTTGACAATCAATGCAAAGATCTGAATATCACAAATTTAATAGAAACAAAGGAAAATCTGAATTAAAGTAACTGGATGCAAATACACAAGTTATTACAAGCGTGTGGCGTCAAATTTAAAATTATGGCAGTTAAAAAAAACACAACAAAAGTACCCATAGTTCTAGCACAAGCGGAGTTTAGGGCTACCGTGATTCTATCTATCGCAAGCCTACCGCAAAGCATCTCTCTATTACGGACGTGCCGTACGAGCAGGCCGTTACGGTCGCAGATCCGCAGTTGGGTCTCGACTATTGGACCAAGCCGTCAGCGTTACAACATCGCGACCGCCCCTGAATGCTATACAAACCTGCGCCTTTTGTGTAGATGGCGCGATAAATTTCACCGGCCCAATTAGGAACCGCGCATTTCGCTTCTGCCACCTATTTCAGTGTTATTTAATTCAATTCCACTTTAAATGTCCAATTTCCTATAACTTTGATATTAACAACAACTAAACAAGTGTCAAAGTTTCAAAAACAGCAATAAACAACAATTAAATTCGCCATACAATCTTGTGAAATTTTAAAAAACAAATAATTTTTATGTGAGATTAAAATTGGACATCAGATAATTTATATGATGGAAACATTCATCAACAAAATATTAACAAAATAAAGAGTTTACATTATGTCAAATTATGTCATGATCCAAGTGATTGGTTACTTAACAAACAAATTACTTTGAGAGTTTATAATACCGTGAACTAGTTACCCCAACAACACATAATAAATAAACACAAAAATATCCAGTCATCGTTGCGAGGAATAAGCGTCTCGGTGATGTAAATTTTAACGTTGCGAGAAAACGCCTCGGTGATGCAAATTTTAACGTTGCTAGGAAATGCCTCGGTGATGCAAATTTTAACGTTGCAAGGAAATGCCTCGTTGATGTAATTTTTAACGTTGCGAGGAGATATCTCGGTGATGTAATCAATCTTTAGCGTTGCGAGGACATGCTTCGGTGATGTAATCAATCTTTAGGGTTGCGAGGACATACCTTGGTGATGTAATCAATCTTTAACGTTGCGAGGAAATGCCTCGGTGGTGTGATGATAACGATGATAATAACGATGATAACTGCCTAAGGGATGAAATTATTGTATCAGCCCCACCTGTTCACAGTATGAATTAGTTAATTTAACTGCCGTAAATGAACTATTAGCAATCTTGTGTGAAGAATTAAGAAGTGTTATAATGTAACACTTACGTATATGCATCCAAAAACCTCATTCGTAATTAAAAAAACAAAGGTTTTATCCTGACTAAGTGAAGTTCATGAAATCTTCAAGCAAG